GCCAGCGTATGGAGAGTGGATCGTACAACATTGTTTCCATGGAACTACCTTCCAGTTTCTAATCTCAAGTGGAGGCCTTGAGTGTTGAGAACTGCGTTTGGCATCACGTCAGGGCATTGTAAAGTGCTTCGAATATGCAAATCAAACCACAAAATGCTAGGAATAGCAGTGGGATCTCAGTTCTGACATGAAGAGGGTGAGATTGTAAAAGGTCTCTTAAAATGCTCCAGGTCCCATGAACTATTCAGTATGGAATCCAGACCATTGGACTCTAAAGCTGTTTGCCTCCACAAGACCCAGAGAAGCCGGGCATATAAATAAACCACATGCAAGAAAGACTGGCTTCAACAGTGTAGTAGAAACACGTGGAGACATTTGGGGATCATGAGAGACTTGCTGGTGACGATGGTATTTAAGCAGAAGTGAAGGTGGGGAAAGGCCTTGCGTGACAGATGCCCAAAGTAAATTCAACAATCCAGGTGTACTCTCTGTGCCAGCCAGGTGCCATTCCAGATGCTGAAGGTGCAAAGACTTGTGAATGGCTTCTGCAATCTTTTTTAAGTAATATTTTTGTGCATCCTTTGAGAGTTTCACACAATGTATTTGATCATATTCATCCCCTCTGCCACCCCTCCCACATCCTCCCTCTTTTCTACTCACCCAACTTTATGATTTTTTTTCCTGTCTCAAAACCAAGAAACAAACCTCATGGAATCCAGTCTGAGTTGGCCAAGTGATCAACTACTCCTGGGCATGGGACCTGCCCTGGAAAGTGACCCATATATCAAATATCACTCCATTGAAGAAAACTGACCCTTCCTCACATACATGCAATCAAATGCCTAAAGCTCCTAGCCCAGGGGTTGGTCTTTATGCCCATCTACCCTCCTCTCTCCTGGGAATTTTGTCTGACATTTGCTTATGAGGGTCTTATGCGTGATGCCACAGTCTTTGTGAGTTTGTGTGTACATCTGCCCTGTTGAGTCTGGAAAACACTGCTTCCTTGAAGTTATCCACCACCTCTGGCTCTTATAGTCTTTCCACCTCATCTTCCACATAGATCCCTGAGCCTCGATAAGAGGGGTGTGATAGACATCCCATTTACGACTGAGAATTCCAAAGTCTCTCATTCTCTGTATATTGATCAATTGTGGGTCTCTGAATTGCCATCTATGGCAAGAAGAAGCGTCTCTGACGAAGGTTGAGTGATGGACTTGCTGATCTAAGAATATAATAAGCATTATGTCATCAAGAGTCATTTTATTACGTGCCTTTAGCAGAATAACACAAGCAGGTTTCCTTCTGGGATCCATGATCTATCTAGTCTCTGGTTACCGGTCTCATTGATAGTATCTGGTATAGGATCCATCTCATGGAGCAGACTTTAATAACAATCAAAAAGTAATGGATCCCTCCCATAACATTTACACCACTATTGCACCATGGGACATACCTTACCAGGTAGATCACCACTGTATCTCGCAGAGTTAACCTTCTGAAACTGTAATGCCAACTGATATAAACAAAGCTTCCAGATGAGTACCCCCTAGTTTTTTTGATGCTCTGTGACTTAAGCACATGGTATCTTTAGCAATGAGGTCTTACTGTCAAGTTCTGGCAATAACATGTAATGTTTGGGGGATCTTAGGGGCCCCATTAGCCACCAACTCAGAAATAGGTAACTTCTTCCTGGCACTAGAGTTTTATTTTGTAAGATATGATTTCTAGCTAGAGTATTGTTCCCCATTGTAGGGTGGTGGTTTCAGACTTTCAGGAAGTCACGATTCAGTAAGGTAGCACATAAATACTCAAATCCCCATGCTTATACTAACTAGAAAAGCAAAGGTCTTAAGTGAATTTGGAAATGCAGCCTTTGGTAAAGGGGATAGAATGAGATTCCTACCCTGTCACCTCAGGAAGCAACATTACAAAGGCAGCAGAGTCAGTTGATGGGATGTGAAAGGCGAGGCAGATCAGGGAGCGTCGCTAGTTTTATCTAATGCTGGAACAGACTGCCGTACTGGCTCGTTAAGGTTTCTTGCTGATGTTTATTTTTTTATGGAATTGGGAAACTTCTAGAATGTTCCCTTGCTTCTCAACTTTGTCTCAGAAATCTTATGTTCATTTTGAAAAGTAAAGGGGTTACTATAAAGCATAGATAGAACACACAGAGCAGTTACAGATGGCAGCTTCAGAGCCTACCCTGTATACCAAGCTCCCTCACCACAAAATGAGTATTATAGTTAGACATCTTGTTCAGTCAGTCCCTAAGTACAGTTTCTAGTTTCTTCCTTTCAGTAATAGACAACCCTGGGGAGCCTCAGGAAAGCACCCATGATTTTATGGCAGATAACAATGTGATATGCAGAGAGCAATGTGACTATGTGATGAATGTCACTCGTCCCCCCCAAAAAACACTATGATCAAATGCCAACTGACTACAATATTCATCCCATTTCCCTTGGCAGAAAGAACCACTTTCTTTCCAGTTCCTCTCTGCCTTTCCCCAGGGAAGAAATGGGATGCTGAAGTGGTGTTAGTGCTCCTGAGGAGCTGACCAAATCACCTCAGAGGACTTGCCACGCACCCCATGACTTGTGCTTAGCACATCACTGTGACCAGCATGGTAGCATTGTTAGAGTTGTGACTGGGCAGAGAGGGTTTCAGCCATAGGTTATGGCACATGAAAGACTTCCAAGCAAACTTTATAAGCTTTGGTGAATGGACAGTGTAAAAATTGTATTTACTGAAGCCGGGCGGTGGTGGTGCATGTCTTTAATCCTAGCACTTGGGAGGTAGAGGCTGGCAGATCTCTGTGAGTTGAAGTCCAGCCTGGTCTATAAGTGCTAGCTTGGGGACAGGCTCTAAAGCTGCAGAGAAAACCTGTTTCAAAAACAGAACAAAACAAAATTATATTTACTAGTTTGAACCCTTCTGTTATTTGCATCTGTGTCTCTGGCTTGGTTTCGAAGGACTGGGTCTACACCCGAGCAAGGAAAAGATCATTGTGTTGAACAAGGGCGTAATCATTGAACAAACAGCTTCCGCTGACTTGCTCTTTACTAGCTACTGAAGAAAGAAGCGTGCATATGCAATCTCTGTCCTCAAGATGCTTGACAATTGGTGGCGATATGTGCAGATATCAAAACAGTATTGAAAGAAGCGAATGCTCTCGGTTACAGACTATGTAAAAACTCTAACTCAAATTTCCTTTATTAATTAAAATGCCACTGATAGGCTTGTGTAAGTATCCAGCCCAAGAATAATCCTAACCAGGCATTTAACCTCTTTTGAATGAATCTGTAGATGGGACCTGAAAACTCTGTACTGTTGACCCTGCCTCTGTCCTTTCAATAGGGCGTTCTGAGGCTGCTCTCAGCAACACAGTTTAATACAGACCATTCCGATCGAGAACTGAAAATTGAAACAGAGAAGAGAACAACTTCAAAGGAAGACCATCATTCTTGAGGAGACGAGCTCCCGAGCCCAGGCTGGAGGACCCCGACAGCACCATCATGCCTGCTTGGCACTTGGGGCATGAGAGTGGGGGGAGGTTTGAAGAGGAGGCTGAGAGAAGCGCACCATACACCTGGCAGTCGTTCTGAGAGTCCGCAGCCCCGAAGAACAGAGTGCTCACTCACCTTTGTTCACCAAACAACTATTTTTTTTTATTGTACAGAGACCTGCCAGGCCCCAAGGACAAGTGGATTTACAGGCAAAGACGATAGCCCAGTGAAGCCTGTACTTTAAGGGTGGGAAGCAAACACTAAACCACCAGAGCAATGAGCTAACAGCTCTCTTGTTAATCTATATGTAGGGGAAAACCTTGTGTATCTCCTGGTGATGGCCAACGCTGAGTGGAATAACTAGAATAACGGCCTCCAAGTTGACAAATTAGGGGCAACCTGAGAGATGGGATTGCAAGCTCTTTGGAAGGTCGGAGGATGTCATTCCACATGAAGCAATAGCAGACGCAAAGGCCCTCAGGTGGAGGCTGGGAACTGAGGAAGGTGGAGAAACAAAGCAAGGGACAGGGGACCTCAAGGGTAAGGCAGAGGGGAGCGAGGTGAACGTGAGAAGTTGGCAGGAGCCAGCCTGTGGTTGGCCAAAAGGCCTCCTGAAGACGTGGATGTTAGCTCACACACACGCAGTGAAATACTGACCATGGAAGGACTCTCTTGACCACTGTGTGGAGGAAGTACACATTTAAATTCAGGGACAGGGGGACATCAAGGTGCAGGTGTGACTCTAACACCTGTGGCCACCGGCAGCGTGAGCTTCCTAGAAGCCCACTTAGGGATGGAGCGGCTTTCCGCAAAGCTGCAAGCGTTTTTGCATTTGTGCACAAACACCGGGGCTCTCAACTGCCAACAAGGTGCTTGCCGTGACTGAGGAAATGGGTTGTAAATTGTATTTTATTTAGAGGAAAGTATTGAAAACTTACAGCCACATGAAGCTTATGGTTATTAGATTGGATTGTTCAGGATCTTGCTCAAAAGGTGGAAGCAGAAGAGGGACTACTGATCCTTATGTGCTCACCCAACATTGCGATCCAGTCCTCTCTGGATGGAGAATACCAGGGAGAAAATGTGCAAACGCTCTAAGGTGGGAAGAAACCCAGCTTCATTTTGTCTTGTTAGGAAGAGCCGCACGCGCATCGTCAAGAGAAGTCTGGTGCCACCGTGGAAGGTTTAGGGACTGCTTTTCCTGAACGCATCAGTACCGCCAGCTCACGCTGCCTGTGCCACCAGCTCACGCTGCCTATGCGGTGCAGCCTTTGACGAGAGAGTGACAGGGGACAAGAGCACCTTGCCCCACCTGCCCGCAGTGGGACTGCATAGGTTTTAGTTAGACAGGTGAGCGGAGGAAGGAGGAACCAAGGAGAATGCGGGGACCCCTCGGAGCGCGCAGTCGACCATTCTTCTGCATGGGGGCGGGGATGGCACCCGCTGTCATCCGCATAGAATCTGCCTTCTGAGCTTGCTTTCGCTTTGCTGGGTGCCCGGTGAGGCTTGGAGCATCGCTACCGAACCCGAAGCAGGTGGCCTCGGAGGAGGGGCGGAGGCTGGCCCCTTGAACCCTTCGGGAGCCCCCTGCCTCTCCATTAATAAGAGTCCTGACTCAGGCCACCGCGCTCTGCTGGCGCGCAGGACCTGGCTTGGCTAGAGGGCACCCCCTGACCTTGGTCTCTCCCTCGTTCCAGATCTGCGCCAGGACCATGGGCGCCGCGCTGGTCACTGGCCCGCGGCTGACCTCCCTGCCACGCATGGCCTGCGGCACCCTCCGGCGCCAGGCACCCTCCGCGCCCGCCCAGGGCTGCCACTCCAAGTCCGGCCCACCTCGCCCCGTGCCCCTGAAGAAGCGCGGATACGATGTCACCAGGAACCCTCATCTCAACAAGGTAATGGTCCGGGTCTGGAAGGGTAGGGCTTTGGATCCTGTGACTGGAGGGAAGGACGCCCCGCCCCCCTGGGCCTGGGAAGAAGCCTCTGGAGTCCTTCCATGGCCCTTCTGGTTTTGCCTAGCAGAGATTGCTTTATTATTTGTTTTGGCTTTTTCCATCCCCTTCCTCTCTCCCTTTTGACACGGAGAGAGGTGATAGGTTATGCGGACATTAATTTCTTCAGCGAAACTAATACAGACCCAGTGAAGGTCCACAAAGGTCTCTCTGACCTAGAGTCAGATTGCCAGCAGACCTTGAGGGCAGTTCCTTTGACTCTGGGAATTAAAGTTTCTGTATCTGTTAGACAAAGATTTCGTAGGAGGACTGCATGGTTTACAAGGAAAATGGAGGCAGAGTTCTTAGCACACACTCCGGCACCAGTGAGATAAGAAGTATCAGTCGAAGTTATGGTGATTATTTTAGGAACGCAAATCTGGAAGAAAGGTCTAGAATTGTAGAACATTTTAGGACTGGAAGGAACATCCGAGAACTGTGTTCAAACCGGTCCTAGAGCAGGATATACAACCAAGGGGGCTTGACCAAGGTGACCAAATTCAGATCTGTAAGGTTTTGGCATGTTCAGCCCACAGCAAACACTTGAGCATTAACCTAGAAATACGCACATGTTCTTCCTCCAGGAAGGAGTTCGTATCTTTGGTTCAGAGGATTGTGATGGACAGGAGCCCAGAAATCAAGACTAGCGCCAGTCTCCCACCCTCACCTTTTCACTTTTAACTAGGAGGCTCAACTTTCTTCAGTCTAAAATGAATGCTAGATTCGGCTTTCCAACCCCATTGGCTTAGTGTGAAAATTCTGAGAACCACAGGACTTGAAGCACTATTTTAAACTATAACTTCCGAGTGCTGGCTAAGCAATTCCTGCCAATAAAAATGTAATGATCCTCATGTATGAAGTACTCAAAAAAAAAAAAGTTAAGTTTCTGTGGTTCAGGATGGTGAAATTCATATGAGGCAACCTGGATGGAAAATGTGATTTTAAGGGGTGGGGCCAATCGCTCTATGCTATGGGGTTTTCCTGCAGCGTTAATAGAAACTAAGGGAAAACAATCTTTTGGCTCAGTCTTTTGCCTGTCCACTGACCCTCTGCTCTCCAAGGAGACGCTGGTTTCTCTGAACACGGCTCCTTTTCTAAGCACAGAAGGTATTTACGTCAGTCTGCATGACTTCTGTTGGGTTAGAAGGTGTAAACTACTTTAGACAATCCTTTACAGAAACAAAACCTAGAGGACGGGCTGCAGGTAAGACTTGATGGAGTCACCGAGAGGACTCCCGAATGGTGCAGCCGTGCTCTGGTAGACCCTGACTCTGCAATGTCAGCTTCAACAGCAGCCCTTACATGAAGTCATAGCAGGCCACTTCTACTTACAGATTCTGCTTGTGTTTTCCTCCTAGTTCCAAGACAACCACCAGTAACTTAAGCCAGTTGGAACCTCCACTTGGAAATGAACAAAAGGTTCATTTCTACACCATAACACACCAATTACCTCAGAATAGAAGAGATACATTTCCCCCACCATAAACTTGTATATGTCATAAAATATAAGAGACAGAATTCTGGTGAGCAAAGTAATACATTACTACCATAGGCTTCAGTTATTACAACAATTGCCTTAGATGTATGTGTACATTACCAACAAGCAGTTATTGGTTCATAAGTAGTTAAGAAAATAATGTTTTTAGTCCTGGGTTTTGTACCCCTAAAAACATTCGAGTCCCCTATGGAAGTTGTCCTAGTGACTTGCCTTCCCAAGTACCGAAGATGGAATGTTATTCATAGATGCATGCGGTCTGCCATTTTCATAAAGTCAGGCATATTGGAAGATGCTTGGCACTGGTTAGAGATGTGGAGGATATCCGGAATGCTGCTCAGGGCCAGGTGTAGCCCTCTCCTGCTGTGAAGAAACAGACTTCCGGGGAGCCGCTCACAAGTCCTTCTGTTCCCTCTGGTGACCCCAACATTTGGTGTTTCCACGGAAGGCTTCATGATTTTTCTCCGTCAGATGGGACAGTTGTGATGAGGTTAGACAAAGCAACAAGGTTCCCAAAATGGAAAAATCGACAAACCAAAACAATAAAATGGGAATCTTCGAAAGGTCCTTCGTGCTGTGGTTAGCACGCAGGTCTGTGGGTGGATGTTTTTCTAGCATGCAAGCTCTTGGAGAGCCAAGACTGACAGTGTTCTGTGAGCGTGTGCCCAGAATGCACTACTCTAGAGAAGCTTCTCGGGGATCTCGCAATGCAGCACTAGCTCTGCATCCGTAGTACTGTGTGTTCATTCCTGGCAGATCACAAAGGCCTTACATTGAAACTGGGGGGTAAATGGGAAGTGGACCTGTAGAGAGAAGACGGGCTTCTCACTGGATGGGGTAGACACCATGGCGGTTACGTGATGACCGTCTTCTGGATCTGGGGCTGTTGTGTCCTGACCATGCTGTCTGTGCTGGGTCTCACTGGCATCTCGGTGGCTGGTGTAAGACCGTCCTCATCTCTCATTCTAAATGTGAGCCTCTTGGTGTTTGCCTTTGTGCCCTTTCCTTCGGCACTGGGCATACTTCTACAGTGGCAGACTAAATTCTTTTCCACAGTAGACCATGGTGTTCTTGAAGACAGAGACTGGCCGGTCAGACAATGGTCTCTCTGCCTGATTTGACAGTTGGTAACTATTTGCTCTTGAGTAATCTTGAGTCTCCACCCTTTCCCTCAACAGTGTTAACGTTAATGTGGTAATTTGACAACCAAGTTCTCGCTGACTACGTTCTCATTGACTAAGGCCTTTTGTGGAAGCAACATACCTACTTAATACTAATAGTCCAAGATTTTCAGTCTTTTCACAAGGCAGTCTGTTATTTCCTAGAGTGCATCAGCCTCCCTCTTCGACATAATACCAGCAATTTTTTTTTTCGTTCACAATATGCTACTGGACCAATCACCTGCTGCTTCTGAAGTTTTTCTTTTGCTTGTCGTTTTTGTTGTTTGCTGTTGTTTTTGATCTCCTGAGCTTAATGTTTCGGGAAGCAATGGATGAAGTGGGTGTTTAAACCACTGGTTGTTGATTGGCACATTCCACACGGTGGACCTTGAGATACTTCAGGACAGATCAGAAGCAGCCTGCCTTCCATGCAGAGTTGGCATATTTCAGTCCAGGAAGGTATGAAGGGTGGCGACCAACACTGCAGCAGGGGTTGAGATTCCAGGGACACGCAGGTTTCAGCAGAATCACTTCAGCTGATTCAGTGGGGGATTTATTAGACTCCTACATATATTTGTTTGAAGTGCCTTTTTTTTAACTTAGCAGCAGCACAGACCTTGACTTTCGCTCTCCTTGAATGAGGGAAGTATCTCCTCACAGACTTGCTTCATCATGTTCAGGAGATGCTGGCTGGGTCGGATGAAGAAGCAGAGGTTTATTGGTGACGTGAATAATATGTTTTCCTGAGACCTCAGCATTAGATATAAGAGAGAATCAGGCTTCAGGATTGAAAGAGAAATAGTGGATCACTAACTAGACATAAGTTCATATGCAGTTTGCCCTAGATCTAAGTCTCTGGCTTGCTGGTACAGGGAGTAGAAATTCAAATACTGTTTGAATATTTCAAGACGAAACGAGCAAAACCAGTTCGAAAGTCAGTCTTTCCCTATCGAATACTGCCTTGTCTTCATGAGCCTGCTATGGTTATGTGCTCAAACAGCTGAGAAATATTAGGGCTATGTGCTTAGAACAGCGAAAAGAATTTGGACTAGTTAGACTAGGTCAGGCCACTCTGACAAAATGAGCTGCAAATACAGAGACTTAAACCAGATAGAATTACAAACCAGATAAATGAGTCTGGGAGAGAGTTTGTGAGTTGGCAGGAAGCGTGATCTTCTTGCTCGGTAGTCTTCACTGTGCTTTATATGTGTGATGGTCCAAAATGGTGACTCCAGCCATATCTTTAATTCCACAGACTCTAAGGGTAAGAGGAAACACTGCTTTTAAGGGCACCATTCAGAAGACTTAATTATCACTTCTAGTTCCAATCCACTTGGCTGGAACTTGGTAACATGCACACTTAGCTCTAACAGAATAGGGCTGGGGAATTGTTTGGCTGAGCACCAGGGTTTCAGTTAAAAATTCTCCACTATGAAAGAGAGGATATTTTGGGAACCTGTCAGACAATATTGATCTGAAACTATCATTCTTTTAGTCTGTCAATTTTTCCTCACCGTCTAAAGTCTGTTTCTCTACATTCCCACCAATGCCAGCTTTGTTCCTACATATCTCATCATGGTTAGCTGCTGTAAGGTAGACAACCGTTCTGCTACTGAGCTATAGATCTAGCCCTCCTTTGCTTGATTTGGGGCTGATGTAGCTCGGGTATTTAACTCACAGTTAATAGACAGAATGAATGAAGGAGTCAAATTGTTACCAGAGTTGTTAGCATCAAACTTGGTCACTGCCAGCCTGACAGAATGGCCTAGTTACACGGTAGGCCAATAAAAGATGCAAGTAACAGTGAGAATCAGAGAAGAGGTGTTTATCAAGGATGGCTATAGTGAGAAGGGAACAAATGAATAGATCCAGTGATACCCTCTGCTCCATGCTCCAGATACCAGCGTGTAAAAAGAGAACAAAAGTGTAACACAGCAACCCTGGGTGAGGTGTGTTCCTGTCTCTCCTTGTCCCATCACAGACACATCAGTGTCTCCTGGTCCTTGGTCTGCCCTGCAAGTGGTCAGCACTGGGTGAAATCTCTGGCTGGGAGATGAGCACCCTTCTGGCTGGCACCAGGACCTCAATATTTTTTCCTTTCTCAGAATGAGAGTACTTAGAAAATTCTAATTCCTAGGAATCCCTTGTCTCCATGATCTTTTTTTTTATTGGTTTTTTTTTTTTTGAGCTCTACATTTTTCTCTGCTCCCCTTCCTGCTTCTCCCCTTCCCTTCAACTCTCTCCCAAGG